TGGGAATTATGTCGCTGTGAGGGGTAAACTATAGTGCCCAGAATTTTTTGAGAAAAGAATGTGCTTCAAATGTGCTTTAAAGGTAGTGTGTGTGTACAGCCAAAGATATTACTGTTTGATGTACTGTTTCTCAAACCAATTGGAGCCTGTAAGCCATTCCTAATTCAGCCTGTGTATGAGCACATTGTCAGTCCTGACACATTTAATTTTTTTTTGCTTACTTGTGAGTCTCACTTTTTGTTTTTGTTAGTTAAACATTTAGCAGTTCTACCGCAAATCATCTTCTACTGCAAATCGTCTGCAATCAGGAGATCCCAATTTTACCTTTTGCCTGCTCCGCGTTAGGCGATATCAAAATCTTATATGCAAGTGGCGGTGCTGTAACATTCATTTTTAAACTCATTACACTAGCCCAGAATATAGCACTAGACTTCCCAAGATTCAAAAGCAATAACAGATGCAGTGAATCTGTGTAATCAACAACTTTCTATGTAATGTTTCTCTCTGCCTGAGGCCCCTGATTATAATGATTTCTCATTTGTGACAGGTTTCCACGCTCCTATTGTCACATATATTTATTTGCAGTAGCTCAAGGGATATTAGAAACATTTATACTTATTATGAAAGTGACACACAAAAGATTGGAGACATCAGATCAGTTTAGTTATCTTGGAAGATATTCCTTGGGTATGCTACTAATCTCTTGAATTTTGTCATATACCATAATCACCACAACCATGACATCCTCTGGTCTAGGTATGCAAAAACTCTACACCATTCTGCTACACTTGGTCCTAATCCTGAAAATGTGTCCCCCCCTTTAAAGTCATTATTAAGATAACTCTTATACAGCCATTATGTGAGATGAGGTGTAGTTCTTCACATGGTAAAGGTAAAGGTACCCCTGCCCATACAGGCCAGTCTTGACAGACTCTAGGGTTGTGCGCCCATCTCACTCTAGAGGCCAGGGGCCAGCGCTGTCAGGAGACACTTCCGGGTCACGTGGCCAGCGTGACATCACTGCTCTGGCGAGCCAGAGCCGCACACGGAAACGCCGTTTACCTTCCCGCTAGTAAGCGGTCCCTATTTATCTACTTGCACCCAGGAGTGCTTTCGAACTGCTAGGTTGGCAGGCGCTGGGACCGAACGACGGGAGCGCACCTCACCACGGGGATTCAAACCACCGACCTTTCGATCGGCAAGCCCTAGGTGCTGAGGCTTTTACCCACAGCGCCACCCGCGTCCCTCTTCACATGGTAGACTACCATTATGTGCCAAATGCAGGGTTTCTCTTCAAGACTAACTATTTTGCAATAAAACAAAAATAAAATAAAAGGTGGGGAAGCCAGTAATTAAACCTTCCCATGGTGATCAGGAACACTTCATCACAAATGCCATATTGAGGAGAAATCAGAAGGAGGAAGCTTCTCATTAAAATGGTAGGGGACCTTTGCTGAAGATAAAGGTCCTGAGTAAACACTGTAGAATAATCTTTACCATGGGGATGAGCACTGTCAGAGAATATATAGTATTATAATGTGCTGCTTAGAACCACGGTTTTAACTACACATTATGAAAAATTAATGCCTCCCTAAAAGACACGCGGGTGGAAGCAACCTGGGACAGAATGGTTTTGAGCGGGTAGATAAGATTTGGGGAGCACCAACTGCTAGTGTTAATAAAATGTTCACAGCTTGAAACAGGATAGCTAAAGCAATTATAAGGCTGGTCCTGTAAAGACATGTACAGTTATTTTAACTTGCACAACACACTTTTTACATAGCGAACCATTTTTGGCAGCACTGTTAAAACCCATTGCCAAGCTCCACAGGATTTAGTACTATATAGCAACTGTATTAAGAATTTATGGAACCAAGATGAATATCCTGGCCTGCTACTGGAAATTTGAAATATATATATATAAAGGGACAATGGGAACTTCCACAGCCCAGTACTTCCAACACGCATATGCTTTGAGTGCCTTGGCAGAAAGGCACTGTATAAATGCAATTAGTAGTAATAGTAAAATCATTTTGCTTGCTCTTTGCTAGAGTGTTGCCCTAGCCCAGGGCTGCCCAAACTTTTTCCAAAGAGGGCCAAATTTGATGAAGTGAACATGTGTGAGGGCCAACCAAAGCTGTTGAGTTTTTTGTAGGATTGAAGTTGATGAGCTTTTTTTAGTATTTTACCCCAAGACATATACTGCCATGGGGGCTGGATTAAATTGACCCGCTTTGGACATGCCCGCCCTAGCCTGACCATTGGTTATTAGCTGTAAAAAACCTCATTGTTTAGAATTACTCTCTATTTCACAAATTTTCTGCTTAACAATTACAAGCAGTTGCATGCATAAGAGCAACATGTAACCAACAACAATGAAACTGTCCCACATATACAAAAGACAAGCTACTACATATCAAAGGGCATTAGATACAGATTTTGGTAAAGGCTTTTGACTTCTCCTGACTGCTATTCTAGGAACAGACTAATGCTTAGGTGGGTCTGGCAGAAAGATTTGAAAGGATCTGGAGGACAAACTTTTTTGACCAGTAACATTTCATAGGAACGTTTGGTGTACAATATCAAATTTATCTATCTTAGTTTTAGCCTAAAAGACACCATGATGCTGAGTTAGTTTTTCAGCCAAGGCAATATACCCTATTATTATCCACCAGCTTTGCTCTGTAAATGGAAAGGCATATTTCCAATGCTGAGCTATCTCCAACCTTGCAGCTTCAAGGAAAGAAGTAACTGCATGAGTCTATGCATGGAGTCAGGAAAGAGGCAAATGAAAGCAAAACCCAGATCTGGGTAGGCAAGTTGATCAATAATTTTTGTCATCTTCTGAAAAATCCTGAGCCAAAAAGTTTGCACTACAGGACAAAGCACCACATAGCAAAGAACGTACTAATTTGTCCACAGCCCCTCTAACACCATGTGGACAAGTTATCATTTATACACCCCAGCTCCGCTGGTGTAACATCCAGGGGGTGGCCCATCTCCTTTTGTTTCTCCTGGAGAGAAACCGGAAGGTGTTGCCCTGTGAGATCCTGGCTGGATCTAGACGTGTCAAAGAAGTGATTCGGTTAAACGCATTGTAAACTCATACAGGGAAATCCGGTACGGAAAGACAGGACTCCACAGCGCCATCTGGTGTCACAGTGTTGTATTGCATACACAATGCATATACAACACTTTTTCTTTATCAATCTAGCTGAGTCCTCTGTGGGGGCTTTTATGACATTCTGTGGGGCTCTCACAAGATCTTGCCTGCACCCGCTTCTCTGGTGGCACAAGGGCAGGGCCCCTTGGCTTCTGCTTCCAAGGCAGCTGTCTCAGTCAGCCTCATTGATGCCCGGCCGGTACCATCTAATACCATCTAAATGTCAACTTTGTTTCCCTCAACTGCGTTGATAAAAGATTTCAAAGGCATCTTTAACCATATGGTTGCCCATACCGATTCATCTGCTATGGTTCAAGTCCTATGCTATACAAAAACCATTAGGCACAACATGGGATATGCATAAGTGTGCTTTAAGGCTACATGTGTACCATATTTCAACTTAATGAGTTTATTCTATTTTATGTTGCCAGGTATGAAGGGAAGTAAAATAAACAATATTCAGATCCACAAGTGGAAGGACATTTACAGTAACCAGTGTATTAAAATGCTTAAAATGTGGGAAGTGTTATACATACCCTTTAAAAACCAGATACATGTTCTACCCATTCCAGTTTGAGTGAAAAGGGCTGTCTCCTGTGGTTTTTTCTTCTCTCCCAAGATCAGGCAGTTCTCTTAGCCACTTGGTAATGAGAGATCGTCTACAGTCTCATCTTCAGAAGGCCCTCTTTACTTAAAAGTTATTTTTTAAATTAAGCCCTTTCAAAAACTTTATTCTATGCTAATAGTTGGGGCATTTTACCTTAGTCAGAGGGATATGTTAAAATGCTCCTCGGATATTGTATAATAGTAATTTGGTTGTTCCAGCTTTGCCATGAAACTTTTTATTATAGTTCACTCATATCTGTAACTTGAACGCTAGCTTTGAAGCCCCTCGGATGTCCGTTCAGAAGCAAGTCCCACTGAGTTCAATGGAGCTTAATCCTGTATGTGTGTGCATATGCAGAATCAAGTATACCCTTAAGCAGGATGAGTGAACACCTTTTAAAGGAAGTGCAAGGATTTCTAGTCCACAGAAAACGCCTATGACACAACACAACCCACAACGTAAAGGTGGTGTTGTTTTATTGCTGATCACTGTTCAAACAATAGAGAATCCAGTGCTTGATTGATACCGGTTAGGCGACACAACTCTTTCTCAAGGGCAACCCCAAGCCAGCCTGTGCGCGCAGACCCGGGAGTGCCTGCGATGAACTGAGTGCAAACACGCTCGTCGGAACGGGCTGCACGTGAACACGGGAGGAGCCGCGCGATCGTTCCTGCGATCGTGTACATGAGAACCGAGCGGGCTTACTCTGCACTTCGGCAGCCTAGTAAAGGGTAGGGAGGCTTTTTATGTTTGACCATGTTTTTATACATGCTGGAAGCCGCCCAGAGTGGGTAATAATAAATAATAGTAGTAATAATAATAATAATAATAATAATAATAATAATAATAATAATAATATCAGTCTCCAGCTGGGATTCTTCCCAAGCAAGTAAGCCGCCCAAGCGAAACTAAGGGCGGACCCAGCTGCCGGCGGCGCGTATCGAGACCGGGCTCGGCCGCAGGAAAGCGACGGGCATCCCCGCCGGCTTCTTCCCAGCCAGGACTCGATCCCCGCTCCACTCCCTCCCTGAGAGGAAGTCGACGCTTTCCCCTCCCCGACGCCTCACGTCTTCAGCCGTCACGGCGCGAGGGCGGCGTTTGAGAAGCAGCGGCTCTTTCCTCGCCTCTCTCCGATTGGCTGGCGCGGCTCTAGGCCCATTTCGGATCGCGCGCGAGAGCGTCGGGGTTGGCTGGCCGGCGGCAGCTGGGTCACCGGTCTCCGATTGGCTGCCCGCGGGGTGGGCAAAGCGGGCGCGGGATTGGCCCGGGCGCGCCGTCACGTGAGCCAGGCGGGGCCGGCGACGGGCGTATTGTGGTGGAGGGGCTCCGCTTGTCAGGTAGGTGGAAGATGCTGGGGATGAGGAGAAGGGGAATAAGAATAAGGGAATTAAGAATAGCAGCAGTGGCGGGTGCGCGCGCGGGGCCGGGGCCGCCTGTCCTTCGGGTGGGGCTGGTGCTCCGGCTGCGGCCGGCGGGTGGCAGGGGCCTGAGGCGAGGGGACTGGAGCCGGGGTCGTGAGGGGGTGCCTAGGCCTGAGGTGTGTGTGTGGGGGGGGGGCGCTTTCAAAAGGGCGACAGGGAGGAAGCAAGGAGGACGTGGTGGTGTTGCTCCTCCTCCTGGCTTTCCTTGGGCTCGTTTGTTTTGGGAGGTTGGGGGGCGGGTCCCTCGTAGGTGCCTCACCCGCCTCCGCGCAGCTGCAGACAGTTCCGGAGGCGCGCGGGGCGGTTTTCTCTCCGGCACCCCACGTTCCTGCCGCGGGTGGGTTTCGTCCTTCCTTTGCCTCGCCTTCTGGTGGGGCGCCTGACCCCTGGGCGAAGGAAGTGCCGGGAACAATGAAGCTCCGGGGTTGGGTTTCCAGGCTGTCAGCGGCCGCAGGAGGAGGGGCGGAGCCGGCGACAGGAGGGCAGCAGCCCTGTGGGGCAGACTGGCACCTCAGACTCGGGGGTGGAGGAGACGCGACCCACTTCCCCCAGCCGCCGGGCCTGACCAGTGCTCTCTGCTATGGGTCATGCAAAGGGCAGCACCCTCTCCTCCTGCGGCGGCTGCAGGAAAGAGCACCGGGAAGTTCCCGCTTGGCATTTGAGTGGGTCTTTTCTCTCTTGCCAGAGTGAACAAGTGAAGGCATAGTGGGAAGAAGTGGTGGGCTTGAATTGCAAGAAGGTAGAGCTGGGCCTTGCAAGAGCAGCAGCTTTTTCTGCCCATTTGCTTATGCTCTGTAATGTGAAGGCCTGAAAGATTCGTTTCCCCTCTTGCTTTCTCTTAATAGCTGACCTTAGAAAGCAAAGCGGAGATGTGAAAGTGAGTGGTGTTTAGCCCATCAAAGGCAGTGCTGGTAGGCATCTGAGTAGAGGTGGTGGCCATTTCCATTTACTAGCTCTGCGTAGCCCTTCCTGTGCCCATTTGCCACTGCTCTGTCACCCAAACAGTAAGAACCAGTGAGTGATCTGGAGCAGCAGTCCATTTTACCTGCTGTGATACTAGTTGGGGATGGAAGCAATCGGGCAGGGGTAGTAATTTCTTCCCTTCTTTTGCTTGCTTGCTGTGCTTCCCCTGCGCTTAGTCCTTTCTGCACTACCTGAAGGGAATTCACAGAAATATGAGAGGAGCAACTGCTACATGCTTCTACCTGCTTTTCCCCTAGGGATCATTCAGCCTGTCTGAGAGACATCTGAGTGAGCAGAACCTGCTGCTGTCCCTACTCAGTTGCCTTTTAGCATTACTCTAGGCCCTCTGCACAATCTCTGCTGTTGAACCACCAAGAATGAGGACACAGGTGACTAAAATGGTGAGGCAGTTGATTCTTGTGTAGTCTCTGCCTACTTGTGCTTTTCTGCTAGGGGCTAGGATGGTATAGATTAACACAAATGCAAGTGGGTTGTGGTGGCGCTACTATCTCTGGGCAGTTCTGTATAGGCCCTGTTCCTCCACCCCACCCCAAATGTTTCCCTTAGACCAGGCATGGCCAGACTTCGTCCAACAGCTGTTTGGGGACTTCAGTTCCCATCATACCTGACCACTGGTCCTGTTAGCTAGGGATAATGGGAGTTGTAGTCCCAAAACAGCTGGAGGGCTAAGTTTGTCCATGTCTTCCTTAGGGAGTGCATGCCTACTAGTTTGCTTTCTCTCTCTTGATGGCATAGCTTTGAGGATTGTGCTGGCTAGTGGGTGAGCAGGTGGGAGGGGGTCTCCAAAATGTGTGTTGCTTAAGGGCTGCTCAGAACTTGGGGTGGAACCTGAGAAGGGGTTAAGAGTAATCCCCTAAGTGGGGAAGTGGTTGGGACTGGCAGGTAGGACTCTAAGGCACTTTTGGGGTTACTTGGCCTTCCACCCATCAGTGAACACTTACCCCTGTTTACCGTATGGACTATGGGATTCCTAAGCGTGCTTACCTCCTTCCAGAAATGGTGACAGGGTTTCATCTATGTGAAAGATAAGGCTTCACTTCACTAGTCAAAATTTGGTGCTGAACAGAGGAACTCGGAGAGGCGGGCGGGGAGAGATGAACATACATTTTCCTGGTTCTATGATTCAATACTGTGAATATAATTACTTTTATTTTACTTATTTATTAACTTTGTGTACCACCCTTCATCCATAGATCTCAGGGTGGTTCACAATATAAAAATACAATATAAAAAACACAAAATCCATAATAAAAATAAGAATGGAAACAATTTGAATCATAAATGATTCAAATGTGATGCATTACTTAAAATATCAAGTGGTTAACTGCTGTGAAGAACATGTTGCTGTCAAAGCAATAAAATGTTTCAACTTGTTAAATGTGTTTTTTTGCAGAGTGGGTTAAAATCAATGTTGGGTCACTGCTGTCTGAAACCCCTAAGAGCTGCTGCCAGTCAAACAAAACTAACTTATAGGGACTGATGGTACGACTCATAAAGCTTCCTATGTTACCAATACTCCCCCCACATGGAATTCTCTCTGCACCTGGATATGTAAAAGAAAATGCCTTGATACGTAAAAGTAAACCACAGAAAGCTTAGCTTCTAATGACAAACTTGGGTTGGTCTGTCATTGCTTGTAACAGCAATTTCAGTTGGTTGACTGCTTATCAGCTTATAAAAGAAATGGAACCACCCAAAAAACAAAGTAGTCATTTCTGAATACTTGGGTGACTCCCTAGAAATGCAAACATGGGCCTTTGAAAACTGAAGTGAAAATACCTTTTAAAACAGTGGTGGAAAATTTGTGGTCTTTCAGATGTTTGACTACCACTGCTGTCGTTCCAGACCATTGGGCATGCTTGCTGGGCCTGATGGGAGTTTGAATCCAACATCACCTGGAGAGCCACAGCTCTAAATCAACCTGACAGATGGTGTTGAGATGCAGAAGCCAATATCACCAGTTGATGTCAATATTCTGTAATATATTTGCCACCATAGTCTATTCCAAAAGTCTTTATAATCAATTTAAAACCAGAACAATAATGTTAAGATGGAGTAAAAATCAGAGTCTCTGATTACTGAGTCCAAAGCATTAACCCTAGCCCTTAACATAATTTCCTGTCCCCATTTGCCATGAGGTGTGTTGTAAGTTTAGGTACATTTCAGTCACAGCTCTTTCCAAGGCTGTGGGGGTATGTAGGATATGAGGATGGGGGCACTATTGGATACCAAACCAAGAAACACCAGGACTTGTTTGATCAGAATGACAGTGAGATTGAACAGATTATTGACAAGAAAAGGAAGGCCTTTCAGATCTGGCAAAGAAATAGAAACTGTGCCACTAAGAAAAAAACCCTATGCCAACACTAAGGGTAAGGTTTAAAGAAGAACCCGAGAGCTAAAGAACACCTGCTGGATAAAAAAAAAACCCTCAAGAGATCCAGCACTTAGCTGACATTCAGTGTGCACAGAGTTTCTTTAAAGCCACAAAGACCATCTCTGGGCCAATAAATCATGGCATATGCCCCCCCTTATGTTCAACAGACAGTAACACACTTCTAAAAGATGAAGAAGCTATTGCATTGTGCTGGAAAGAACATTACCTTAACTGCAACTCCCCTGTAGCTGCTGAGGTCCTCACAAATTCTGCAAAAACAAATTAGAGATGAGCTTGCAGTATCTCCAAATCTGAGAGAGTTGTGTACAACTATTAACCAAATGAAAAACAACAGAGCCAGCAGACCTGATGGGATACCTGCCGAAGTCTTCAAAGTGGGTGGAATTGAACTTAACCAACAGCTTCACAAACTCATTGAAAAAATATGGGAGAGAGGGGCGATCCCAGGGGACTTTAGGGATACCAAAATTATCAATCTCTCTTAAAAAGGTGATAGAATGGAGTGCGAAAACTATCGAGGCAATTCTTTATTAGCTGTGACCTGCAAAATTCTTGCAAGGATCTTAGCAAACTGTCTCCTAACAATATCTGAGGCTACCCTTCCTGAATGGTTTTTGATGTTCTAGGGGGGGACAGTGGACATGATTTATACTGCTTGACAGCTTCAAGAAAAATGCAGAGAGCAAAACCAACCCCTGTAATGGCTGTCCAGGTAAATTTGTAAACATCCTTTGGCTTCTCCATGATAATATGACAGCAACAATCGCAGATTACAATGGATCTCAAAGTGAACCATTCACAGTGGGATCAGGTGTTAAATAGGGTTGTGTTATCGCCCCAACTCTGTTTATATCTCCTTTGATTAGGTGACAACCAGGGTTTCTTTTCAGCCAAAACTCACAGGAACTGAGTTCTGGCACCTCTCAGGTGGGCGCTATTGCCATTATAAGAGAACAAGGGAGGTGTTCATGGTGAGCTCTACCACCTCTTTTTCTAGAAAAATAGCACTGGTTACAGTCAAACCTTGTTTGTCGAATGTAATCCGATCCAAAAGACGTTTAACTTCTGAAACTTTCGACAACTGAGGCGTGGCTTCCGATTGGTTGCAAGAGCTTCTTGTACTCAAGCAGAAGCCGTGCCGGATATCCAGGTTCCGAAAAATGTTAAAAAACCGGAGCATTTCTTCTGGGTTTTTGGTGTTTAGGAGCCAAAACGTTCGAAAACGGAGCCGTTTGAGAACCAAGGTTTGACTGTACAACCAAAGGAATTGTAACTTCATATTATTAAAATTGTTGCAAACTGCAGTCTGCAACTCCTCTTCCCTTTGTCTGGATTAAGCAGTGGCACTCTGTCTCCAGTAGTTCAAGGCCCTTCACATTATAGCTCACCAGTGGCTTATATCATATCTCTGTGCTTGTGTGGGGAACACTGACCCTGCAAACTATGGCAATAATGAGGGCCTTCAGTTGACTTCAATTAGCTGGGGGTTTTTTGCCCTGGGTGAAGCCTCCGGGTGAAGGCTCCTAGCCTGTGTGTGTGTACATAAATGTGCATGCAGGATGCCAAACTGGGTCTTTGACCCAGGAGAAATAAAGCCTAGTTTTGCCCCTGGCACATGATAGATCAGAAAGCAAAGCTTACTGAGTGAAATTTCTCTTGTACTTTTGTGTGGATACCGTGCATGGCTGCTTTATCCACTATTCCTCAACACCGGTTACATTATTTCCTACAAAATATGTAATGTTAAGCCTATGAGCTTGTTAGGACAGTTCAAGGTGCCCTTTGCTTCTCACATCATGGTATGAAGTTGGTGTATGTTCTCGGGTAACTAGTTTCCTATAGAAACAAGTAACTATAGTTTCCTGGTTTGAATGGAATGGGGAAGTTTTGGTTTAATTAGAGACTTCCTGGTTTAACTGTGGCTTGTGAGAAGGGAGGAGCAAAGGAACTGCATGCACAGACAAAAGGTTATTTCATATCTCTGCTTCTAAGCTAAGGCTGTATCTGCACTATACATTTAAAGCAGTATCATACCATTTCAAACAGTTGTGGTGTCTGCCAAAGACTCCTGGGAACTGTAGTTTGTTAAGGGTGCTGATTAATTTAGTATCATCAGCAAACTAGGACACCTAACTTGTCCTATTGTTTATGAGCAAGTTAAAAAGCACAGGTCCCAATACTGATGCTTGTGGGACTCCACATTCTACATCCCTCCATTTGGAGATCTGCCCATTTATTCCTATTCTGTTTCCTGCTGCTTAACCAATTCTTGATCCACAGAGGACCTCTTCTCTATTTTAAACCATATTTTATTGATTTTCAAATATAGCAGAACTAAATAAACAATAATATCATTACCAACCTAAACCCTCTCCCCGAAGTAGAGATAGCATTAAAGAATAGCACTTTGGAATCAACAGCTAAATTGATGCCATAAAACGAGAATAAATCAAACAAATGTATTATTCCACATTGCCTCTTATTTCATGGACCTCTTCTCTTATTTCATGACTTAGGTTTAGACAGGAATCTAGTGAGGTACCTTGTCAAAAACGTTTTGCAAGTCTCAAGTATCCATCCCTATCCATATACTTGCTGACACTTTCAAAGAACTCTGATAATGGGACTTTTATTTGATCACACAACCTTACAACATCTATATCCAGTACATTGCTGATCTGTACAGTGCTGGGATAGTGCTCCATTATGCATCTGGATCATAAAAGGCACAGTGACTCCACAACAGCAGCATAGAGGCTTGGAATGAAATGGGGTCTTCTACTTAGGGAATGCTCCTACTGAAAGGAGCAAAGTCAGGATCCATGCCAAGTAGTCTATAAAAGCAATAGCAGGCAGTTTTTATAGACTATCATAGTTTGGCATTTCAAACTTCTGACTTAGTTGTTGAGGAAGTAATAACGGTATTCTAGAGTACATTATGTATAGTTATGGATGCTTATGTTGACTGACTGCTACACCCAAATTGTGAACAAGAGAACGGTTACACCTATAGCATTTTAAATGTATAAGATGATGCTTTATTAGTTAGCAGTTTATTCATGCCGCTTCATCTAGGAAAAATACGAGTGACTAGAAGAGATTATGACAAGAAATCCTATGTTAGAACTTTAAGTATAGGGCAGTTTATATACATAGTCAAACCTGAATTATTAGAAGCCAGGTTGCATAAAACTGAGAATAGAAGAGTGTGTTCTTGAGTATTGGCAAAAAATGGGCCTTTGCCCTCATCTGTCACTATAGTAATTAAAAAAAATTAATTCATAATTTTGTAGAATTGTAGTAATCCACTGTTTTGGTCATATGTAATAGGGGTTAATTTCTCCAATAATACTTGAAGTCTAATTGTTCAGACACTGTTTTGTTTTATTATTTATTGAAGCAAACCTTTTCATTTGTTGCTGCCATTTCTGTTTTGTGCCGTTGCAAGTGGCAACTAAATCCATCTTTGTTGACATCAGGAAAAATGAAATGTTTTATTTGTTCTGGGTTAATAATCACAATACTGTGTTATACAAAGTATTCTAACCATAAGAGGAAACTGGTGATTATAAAGAAGTTCAAATACTGCTAACCATAAAAACAATGCAATATCATGAGACATTAAAACACACAATTCTATTGTCAGTACAGATATATATATATATAAAGCCAGTGAAGTCCAGATCTGTCACTGGAGGCTCAGGTAGCCTCAGTAGCTAGAAGTGCCCTTTGCCAACTGCAACTTTTTCTTTTAATCATATTGGACAATTGGGCATCATTAGCAAACTTGGCTATCTCACTCCTCAACCCAAGCTCTAAATCATTCAGGGGGAAAGCCAAAAAGGCGCAGATCACAATACTGATCCTTGCAGGATTGTGCTTTTTATGTCCCTGCATTGAAAGAACCAGTCGTTTATTCCTACTCCGTTCTGTTTCTCCGTTCTGTTTCTAAACCGGTTACTGATTCATAAGAAGATCTCTTCTCTTACTCCATGCCTGCTAAATTTACACAGGAGTCTTTAGCAAAGGTACTTTTATCATGGGTTATACAGATGGGGCACTTCCAAACATTGAAGAACCTGCTTTATACTGTTTGTGTTTCATCCCTGGTCAACACTGAGTCTGCTGAGAAATGTGGGGTTTTCCCCCTGCAAGTTTCAGGAATGTACATTTTGGATTTATATTGTTTGCTCTTTTTGTCTACTACGTATAGAATTCTGGCACAATGCTATTGACTTCAATATTTGACAGTCAGTTGTAAAGGATATGAACTATTATGGTCAGGGAGACAGAGCAACTGTGGTTTTTATGTACTTATATAGTTATATTGACAGAAACGGAAGCAAGTGAATTTCATGGGCCTTTGTTAACAGTGTGCAGATCTTTGTGATTATGAGGTTTTGCAAGCCGGTGGGAGTTTTGCTCTTTTACATTTTGGTCCCTGCAAGTGATCAGGCCAAAGAATATGCAGGTGTGTTGAGCAAAAAGCAAGGCTCCCTGGAGGAGCCAGAGGTATGTCAGCGAGCAGCAGCAAGTCTGGTAGAACAGAGGGAGGGTTTGGTGGCCTCAGCAACAGGATTCCCAATCTGATGAAAGTCGGCGAAGAACCTTATTGGAGTTGGTGTGAATGATCAGGCATAAGTATTTCTTTCTGCTGACATGAAGGCCTGATAATGCAGTGTCTCCTACTTCAGGATTCATGAAGTTTCCTTTAGTGTTGTAGGCAAACTAGATCATACAATATTTTTGTTTTGTATAGACAGGATAACCGGAAGAGGGAATTGAAAGTGCTGGACGAAGGACCACGGCACAAGTGTTGGAAAAAAATTTGTGGGAAGAAAACTTTTTTTAAAGGTACGTTTCTTAAATTTTGTTCTCTTTCTGTCTGTGTCATTTTCATTCTTTTCTGGTATGTCCTGTCTAGGGCACTTACCAGCAGTTGTTAAAAATTAGAATTTCCCAGCAAATGCTTTGAGGTTTTGTCCTAACTAGAACTCCTGTCTCATTTCACTTCAGCTTTTTCACTCATGCTGCTGATAGAGATATTTGTGCTTCCTTTTAAATGTATGCTTCCTCCTTTTGTAGAAGGAGCTGGCAGGGGTGGGTGATGGTTGTGGACTGGAGGAGACCTAATTTGATAATTTAAACACTTTCAAAGTCACAAACTGCCTCTCTTCTAGAGTGTAGTTGAGCTTACTTCTTGTTTTAAGTGTCTTAGTGAGACACAGAATCATTGCCATGCAAATATAGCATTAATATATTATTAATGCCAGTGTGGTGTAGTGGTTAAGAGTGGTAGTTTCGTAATCTGGGGAACCGGGTTCGCGTCTCCGCTCCTCCACATGCAGCTGCTGGGTGACCTTGGGCCAGTCACACTTCTTTGAAGTCTCTCAGCCCCACTCACCTCACAGAGTGTTTGTTGTGGGGGAGGAAGGGAAAGGAGAATGTTAGCCGCTTTGAGACTCCTTAAAGGGAGTGAAAGGCGGGATATCAAATCCAAACTCTTCTAATAGGTTCTGCTTTTGACATCTTTCTCATTAGTCTTGTTCTGTCTACAGATGTGTTGACCAGAAGAATCTCTCACTAGTGGCCCTTGAAAATCTAGTGCCTTATAAAAGATGGGGTTTGGAAGTGACCTGAAGTATTCTCATGAAGCATTGGTAAAACTGCAAGATTGGGAATTACGGCTGCTAGAAACGGTGAAGAAATTTATGGCCATGAGAATAAAAAGTGACAAGGAATATGCATCCACTTTACAGAATCTTTGCAATCAGGTTGATAAAGAGAGTACTTCACAACTGGATTATGTTAGTAATGTATCTAAGGTAAGAAAAATAAGGAATTTGAATTGGTCACATTTTTGTGTATTTGATTTGCAAATAGTAAATTTTATGGCCAAGAGGTGTAATAATGTTTAAGGCTGCAGTCCTAAACATACTTATCTGGAGATAAGTACTATTGATTGGCTGGACTTATATAACTACCCTTAGGATTTCACTGTATGTTTGGATGGTGTTAAACTAAAGGGGTTTTTTTGGAGGGGGGAATGTTTTTGGGTTGAGACTAATCAGGTTGGCAGTCTCTGAACAGAAGTCAGATATATATTTCAGACTCTATGGATTGAAAGATGTTCATACTGCCTCTCCTAGCAGACATCCTCACTGTAGCCCAGAGCAATGGGTTTGCATTCTCTTGCTGTCAGTTGTCTCTCAGTCTCTGCTTTCCATATCTTTGGAAAATCATTACAGTGACTACTAGCCATGAGGGCTATGCTCTGCCTCCACTGTCAGAGGCAGTATATCTCTGAATAGCAGTTGCTAGAAATCACAGGTGGGCAGTGTGTTGCTGCATTCATGTCCTGCTTACGGGACTTCCACCATCAGCTAGTTGGCCATTGTGAGAACAGGATGATTAATTAGATAGGATAGGCCATTGGCCTGATAAGCAGACTGTTCTTACTTTATGTTCTTATGGCGTAGTTGGACCTCTCTGGTCTCTTCCATTTGCTGTGTCCTGTAGCTTTCCCCATCCTTAATACCCCCCCCATCCTGACTTACAGGATAATTTCACCTTTACCTTTTATGTTACAGGATAAATGTTCTAAAAACAGTAGATATAACACGGTTTGCAGGTATGCTGTACCTATTGTGGCATTGATTGAATTATGTTGGTTTTGATACCTGTGTACTTGAGCTACTAACAGACTAGGCTGGTTTATCTTGACATCTGCTTGTGAACCATGTGGTCTTTTTCTAATTCAGATTCATCTTCTCTAGGCATTAATGAAATGCAGCTCACAAAAACGTAAAATGAAATAACATGTTAATAATATGCATTGGAATAAGAACTGCACATTGCTTCAGTCGGGTTTATTAGCAATATAAATCAGTTTAGTGGATAAATAGAAGTACTTTTAGTTACACTCAAAGTTGAGCATTAGTAGTGTGGCTTCTTTTCCCTGTAAGAATGATAGTTTCATTATAATATCTCCTTCGCCTTTTCTGTTCAGCTACCTTTGGGGGTCTATTTGGAACATTAATGGCACTTGCTGCAGATTTTATTTATTATCACTTTTGCAATCTCTGTTCTTCAATTACAGTTTTATTAAATTAATAGATAAATCATTTTATGACCCAAAGATTTTTGGGAGGAAAAAAAGTTCTTATTTTCTATTCAAAACATGTATCAGGCCAATTTCAATTCAGGCTCTCAATTCTGTTTCATAATAGTTTTATTCTGTAGTTTGAGGCTGCAGTCCTGTACCCATTTACCTTAGAGTAAGTCCTGTTGGACTCAATAGGATATACATCTGAGTAAACATGCATAGAATTATGCTGTGAATGTAGCCTATTGTGCCCCCTGTTTTTTTCTAAATCTAAGCTGTACTTCAAACCTTCCAGTAATTCATTTATTGCTACATTTCTGGTCCTCTTGTCTCTAGGAAGCTCAAGATAGCTTATATGGTTTACATCCTCCCCATTTTATCCTCACAACAACCCTGTGAGGTAGGTTAGGCTAAGAGACAGTGTCTGGCCCCACGGTCTGCAGGAATTCAGTAGTAGAATGATTTCCTTTCAATGTGTTTATTTCCTAAAACTGGTAAGTGTTTGCAATATGACACCAATTTTGTGTATAATTGTATTGTCAGGTGACAGCTCTGTGTGTAGAATCCACAAATGCAGTCAGATGTTTTTATTCCTACTGTACAGTGATCTTTATTGCTATGTATCTAGTACTACATACTACTGTAAAAAAAAAAAAATCTAATAGACAATAACAAATAAGCTCTCATCTCTTGTTTTCTCAAGTCCTGGCTGCTCATTGTGCAGCAAACGGAACAGCTTAGCAAGATCATGAAAACGCATGCAGAAGACTTGAATGCTGGGCCATTACATAGACTTACCATGATGATCAAAGATAAGCAACAAATCAAGAAGAGTTACATAGGTGTTTACCAGCAAATTGAGGCAGAGATGTTCAAGGTATCTCATTCAATCATTATTCTGATTTTTTTAGTTTGTAGAACAAATTTAGCAACCGAAATCACCCATCGCTGCTTTGTGATCAAAGGCATTGGTGGATTTCTGAGAGAATGTCACCTTATATTGAGCACTTTTACTGGAATAGAATAATAATTTGAATTAAACAATATTTAAATAGTATCATTGTGCCTTATTCTCTCAAAAATATAATCCAAGGGTCAGCTCAAGTGCTAGTCTGTTGAAGCAGCCCAAATACTTGTGCTTGGTAGTGCTCCACTTAAGGAATAGTAATGTTTAAGTGTGAATTGCTGTGTCTGATTGTGTAGGACAGGCTGTGCATCCTTTCAGCACATGGCTGAAACACCTTTTTTCTCTCCAAAGAGTGTCCTCACACAGCTCTTGTTGGTTTGTTTGTTTTTTCTTGCTAGGTTACAAAAACAGAGTTGGAAAAATAAAATCTACTTATAGACAATTAATTAAGGAAGTAAATTCTGCAAAAGAGAAGTATAAGGAAGCTCTGTCTAAAGGTAGGTTCTTAATGATAAATAGTACTACCATTTGTATCTGCTGTGACCCTTTCATGAAACACTCGAAACAACATGTGTAATAAGACCTTAATAGAAACAGGAAAAATTAGTGGCTAAGTAATTGGCTAGATAGTTGGAATCATTGTGGAATACAGCTGTATCCCATCCCACAGGTAATCCTAGACAGCCTCTCTTGTCTGTAGCAACTGTTTGAGCTTTTTCTACAGTCTCTTATATTTCAAATGTTGACCTGCACAACTCCTTAGCTGCACCTAAAAAAGAAATACGGTCCTTCTAAATTATGTGTTTAGCTTAATATATCTATGTAGAATTGCACTTACTGTTATTGTATAAGTATCTTTCTGGTAACTTTCTATGTTTTTATGTTGAAAAATAAAATTGGAAAATTAAAAAGAAGACATTAAAAAATACTGTGGGTATTTCAACTTCACACATTGACTTGATGCTGACCTCCAACTTGTGAATGCATTGTAACACAGAAAGTCTTACTCTGGAGTCATATATTTGTGGGTGCCTATCAATGAAATGCTACATTTGCCAGAAAACCCCATTCCCACAGTTTCCAATAAAAATTACCATGTTTGACACTTGCTCATGATACTTTGTATATATTGCTTCAGATGGATTTTATTTTATTCATGATTTTAGAGAATACACTTATCCAAGTAACAAACATAATATTTTGTGTTTTAGCTAATATTATTTAAGGAAGCTGGCAAATGTTACATTGGTCACCTAGGAATTACCCATTACTACTTTATTCAAAAACAGAAATACAGCATATCAATTTAATTTAAATGATTAGTTTGGAATAATGTAGCAGTTATGACAGCAATAAATTCATAAACATACTCTTCAAAGGAGTTACAGAAAGCTACCAAGTTGTAGGCAACATTTTTGTGGACACATTTTTGAAGTTGCAGCCTGTTTTGCCAAATATGTACACACATTCTTCAGTTGTTGTCTGTTGTTGTCTGCATTGAGCCAAAGCTAATATGTTGATCTGCTCACTTTCAGGAGCAGACTTTGCTAATTTCATGTGATGCAGCAACCTCCGGCAGTAGGAGTGGTTTAACATGATCTGACAGCAAGTTTCAAGAGTTTCCCCATGATGGTAGTAGCTTGTGAGGGGTGGGGTGGCAGAGGCATTGGCATTGGCATCCTCCTGGGATCCTTGTCACAACAGGGATGAGGTGAGGAGGTGCCAGTGAGGGTGGAGTTGCTCAGGGACAGTGGTCCTGCAGGTGTGTGCACACCTGGGGGGCTGCCAGCATGAACCTTCAGCTCCTATGACCCCATTAATTCTTATGTCTTCAGGATCTTCATGATGACAAAATATAACAGATTGGATTCTTGTAATGGGCAGCAAACTGAATTAACCCTTTAACCAGAAGTTGAATGAACTGATATCTAGTTATTTGAGAAATAGTTTTTGTAATAAATATGTACTCTCTTCTGTGTTCTGTCCCATCTTAGGCATGGATGGCAGGAATCATAGAGTTCTTTACCTTGGGAGGTCCTCTTGGTCCTTGTTCTTATCTGATAGTATTCTGCCATTACATGAAAATATTTTTGTTTTGACATGTTTCCCTCCCCATAGATAGGGATTTATTTTGCAGGCTGCTTTCCTTTTGTGTAGGGATGAGGGGCCTGTGTGTTTGGTTTTTTAAATATACTTCAGGTTTAATGTTGCCCCCTTGAGTTCAGGTTTTGATGTAGAAAATCAGGATACAAGTTGTTAATAAATAGGCTTGGATGTTGAATGCTAGCTAAATGGCATTTGAACATTTACCAACAGTAAAATTAGATTCTGTCTGTATCTGGTTTCCATTAGAACCTAACATCTTTTGGGGACAAGTGCAAAATTTATTTAGAAGAATTAGGCTGCAACCCTACAGCCACTTATGTGGGAACAAATCCCATTGAATTCAGTGGGGTGTATTGCTGAGTAGACATGCATAGGATTGCCCTTGTTAGGGAGGCAGAAATAGGAACTAGAATAAACAGTACTCCAGACTTGCAGTTCCACTGATTACATTCTAATGTCACAGCAAGCCACAATGAATGGTTTAGCATGAATGTGCAGATTACTCCCACTTCACTCCAAACCTCAACTCTTGGCTTATAGTTGCATCTGAACCGGGATTGTGGTTTGTTTTACTCCAAACAAACCATGATCAGAAAGTTTGTTCTTGGTTTACCAATCCTAGTTTGCTTGAGTGAAACGAACCATAATAATCCAGTTTGGGTGCAATGCTAAGCCGAGGATTGTGGTTTGCTGCTCCAGTGCTCCAGTTCACTAGTGAGGAGGAGCAAAACAGGAGTCATCTGGTTTACTGTGGCTTGTGAACACACCCATTGTGTTTGTAACTTGGAAAGTTTAACATCGTGTTCTTTCTGTTTTTCTGTCTATGACAGGCTTTACTTGGTATTGGTTCAATTGGCAGGCTTCTTCAACAAATTAACTTTCCCTCATACTATTGTGGTATGAATCTGAAACTTGCACACATGGGTTAGTGTTTTAATGGGCAAGTGGTGGCAAAATCAGAACAAAACCCAGAAATTATCCATCAAAACAAACTGCCAAAAAGGAGACCACGTCTCAGGATACTGATAAATATTTATTGGTAGCCCAGCACATTTCATTCAAAAGGCCTTGACTAAGAGCGTTATGTACTATTGAAAATATTTTCAATAACTCAAAGCAGTAACTAAAATGATAATCTCCAGATATCTCTGCAGGTATATAAAGCCCCTGAAAAAGACCCCTTTCGGCTGAACTGTGATGGGTTATCTGTAAATACCTATCAGCATCCTGAGACTTGGTCTCTCTTTTGGCAGTGGGGGAAAATACACAACCGCAAAGCCCCTCAGATGGGAAATGAAATTGGCTTTCAGTAGGTGCATTGCACACTCTTTGTGTGGTTGCTCACAAGCTTGACAGCTAGAACAGTTTTACAAGCATTCTTTCTTGTACGAATTGAACTTGTGTAATGGAATTCTATAATGGTCTTTGTGGCCTGACATACTGCACACAACCTTGTACTATATTAAACATTAGCAACAGGTGATGGCCATAGTTATAATTAGAACATTTTGTGAAACCATTTTAAAGCAAAAGAGGAATCTCTTCCTTTCTTCATCTTTTATTGAAAAATAGAACATGTGTGCACCTGTCTTCAGCTTTGTTACAAAAAAAAGTAAAACTGCAGCACTTAGAACACTGAAGCTGACAATGAACATGCTTTTCGTTGTACTCACTGTACTTCATCCAGTTCTAAGTCTGACATACAAAGGGAATATAAAGCAATCCCTGTTTTAAAACATTTTATATCCTGCGTATTTTGGCACTTCAGCTAGTTTTCAATAAAAAGTGCAGCAGGTTGGACAAATAATGGTCTTAGTTTTTCTGCCAGGTTTTGTCCACAATGTGTGATATCGTTGCATGCCACCATGTGGACCTGGCACAGCACAGAGTGTGTGGAATTTTGGAAAAGAAAACTGAGTGCATGGTATTGGCAGAGCACACTGATGCTGCTATGGCATGAGCGGCATTGAGTGTGGCTTGAGCCTTTTCCAGGCTTCTCAGGTTAAGGTGGAGCTAGGAAGGTTGCTTTATGATTCTTGAGGTTTATGTCAGCCTGGCTGTTTGACACTCAGTCTTGAGCATTATCTATTTCTTGTTTGGCCTGCCTACAGTGCTGCTAATAGCCTGTCCAAATTTAGATGTGACATTAAGCACCGGATTGTTTGCTTTCGCTTACCTTAGCATCTGGAGTGTGAGTGAGATATGAGTGGTGCAAGGAGGGAAGGAATTAAGTTATTTGGGCTTGATCCAATCCTCATATGGTTTGTGTCCTCCCCTCCACCCTACATTAGTCCTCTTTTCACCATTCATCCAGGAAAACAGTAATAGAAATGGTATATACACATTCTGGAACTCGGAAGGTGGTTCAAGAAGATCAGTGAAATAACTGCAGGAAGGAGAGCAGAATAACTGCTGGATTTAGTTTTAAATTATCGATATGCATATAAAGTGGATATGTCTGAACTTAAACCGTAACAGACTGGAAATTTAATCCAATTTATTGACTTAAGGAAGATTTTAGTTATTTCCTCCCTGGTTTTAATTGAGGCCAAGGCATTCTTGTAATTTTTTAAAATGCTGAAGTTTAGGTGTCGAGAAAAGTGACAGAGATGTTCTCATGTAAGATAAAGATTAATTTTAATGTCCAATTAATGAGATTCTTTTTAATATGGCACAGTCAAGACTAATTTGCAAGCTGACCAAAAATATTTTGCAAGCAGAATTTGTTCCTCTCTTTGATCCAGTTGAAATGTTACTTAAAAATAAATGTGGGCATTGGAAGTGCAACTGTACAAGACATTCAAAGGAATACTAAGTAGTATCTTCTAGGATATTCATATAAAATTCCTTGCTTAGTTCAATAAGGGTACTTTAAAGAAAAGTATTTCTTCTGAGATATATATATATATATATATATATATATGTATGTATGTATATGTATATATATTTATCAGATTACCCCCCTTTCTATTTTACGAAGTGGAAATAATTTTGCCGAATTTAGATAAATATTTATGCTGCATAGATAAATTTTTGTGTGTGTGCGCACATATTCTTGTTCCTTTTATGTTGGAAGATTTATACCAGTGCTGCAATATGGACATGGCTGCTTCTGTTTGCATAGTGGAAAAATCAGCATATGCAGTTCCCAGCAATGAGTTGCAGTGCCAGAATTTAGTCCATTGCTTCTAAACTTTACAAAACTCTCCCCTTTGTAAAATCACTTTTGCTTGTGACTAGTCTTCATACTTAGTTGCCCTTGTAGCTAATCTTGGTTTATTTTGTAGCATTTGCCCCTCATCACTTTCCTTACTTTCTCAGTATTGCTCCTAAATTTTTGTGGGAGTATTGCCTCTTTTCCAAACGTGCCAGCTGTTTGAATTACACATACCTGAGCATATCTGTGCTACAAATCTAAGCCAGTTTCTAACTTGTTCTTAAGTAATGACTTCTATCTGAAGGACCCAGGAAATTACTGTAATTATTTGCAGAGGCTGGTGCTCCTTGACCCCGACACTTTCAGAAAGCCAGGACTATCAAACCATTTTTCGATCTAATTATGTAGTGTAGGTGTGCTTGGGTATATAATTAGGTTTAGACCTTTCCCTGCATCCACAAATGAGATGTTATCTCTCCAGGTTCAACCATATCGCCAGATGATTGACTATCTTGTATTGTTGAAAACTTGTTCGCAGCATAATTTAGCAAACTATGCTATAAATGTGGGTTTATGCTGATAATAGTCTATGCACATCCAATTCTGAAAATATATTTTGGAGGATCCTCAATTATATGGCATTTAAATGCCTTTTAAGCCATTTAAAAAGCAGAAGGCAAAACTACTTTGAGGGCAAAATAGAGATGAATGCAAACCTTTCTGGGGTTTTTTAAATACTTCTGAGATTGTACAAATAACGTTATTTGTGATGGTGTCATAACAGTTGCCTCACAAATGACAATACAGTTAGTGGAGCCATATCATTGCTGAGCATTGTGAGAAGGCATGTTCAAATGTTACGGTGTATATTCCAGGCTGTAGTTTTCAAACTATGGGGTAAGCTCTGTGTGTGTGTGTGTGTGTGTGTGCGCGCGCGCGCAGGGGACAGGACAAAAGACAACACTTATGGGTACATGGTTGCAAAATCCAAGTAGGGAATGGATCATGTACCATTATACTCAGATGTATTTTCTTAAGTATCAAAATTGCTGTGGCCATTGTAGAAGCCGCAGAGGCAGGAAGCATATGGGAGTTTCTAACCACAGCAGCTTCTCTCAGCTCCTGTCACCTTTTCAGTTCTCTGGTTTTAGGAAGTGTTCCGAGATGCCTACTGTTGTTCTCTTTTAACACTAGTATTAGATTAATAGCCCAGTGTGCAGAGACTTGACCATAAAACAGTGTGCTGTGTAAATGCAGCTGTATGTGAGGATTTTGCACAGATTCTGCACGCTCACCTGCCCCTAGATATGGCTGCCAGCAGTTTGGGGTATCCAGTAATTTTTTAACAGGGGTCTGGAGTTCAAAGCTCTTCTGAAGGAGCTATTCATTCCATATAGACCTGCCTGGTGCCATGATCTACAGGGGAGGAGGGCCTGCTCTCAGTTTTGTGCAGTGTGAGGTTTGTGGGGCAGCAGGGCACAAGAAGACTTCTGTTGTGATGGTGGCAGATTGTGGAATGCTCTCCCCTCTGAGATGTATCTGGTCTTCTCACTGGATACGTTTGGACAACGGGTCATGAAACACATTTTGAATAGGCCCTTGGGGAGTGGATTTTATATTGTCGGAATCACATGGTGAAGGAAGTGAGAAACATGGCTCTGGAATTCATGTCGTAAAATGCTCTGTGATGGGATTCCTCCAGTTTTACTCTACATTATATCCTATAATAGAGAATCCCTGCTGTGTCCCAATAATCCATATTTAAGAAATGTACATAAAAAAGCAGTTCTAGTTGGTCATTTATCCGTCAGAAGCGAACCCTTCTGATCTAGCGATGACCATCTGTTCTGAGTGCTGGTCATTATATGTCACACTTTAATTGCTGTAATTTTATTTATTTTAGTTTATTCTGAGATTTTAAACTTGGTAATTGGTGATTTTATCCTGATATCAGTCATTGGCTGTAATAAAATGACTTAGATAGTTAAGAAGTATTTAGAATATATTATTGTATAAATCAATTACAATTGTTTATGCTGTAATCCTTTGTACACTAACATTTATTTCAGTGTGTTATACCTATGAGTAGCAAAGGGTTGCATTATTTTACTACTTGCAATTGCTATTTTGTATAGGATAGAGAATCATGATTTATGTCATGGTTAACTTTGACAAAAACAATTACAGTGGTACCTCGGGTTACATACGCTTCAGGTTACAGACTCCACTAACCCAGAAATAGTACCTCAGGTTAAGAACCTTGCTTCAGGATGAGAACAGAAATTGTGCTCCGGCGGTGCAGCGGCAGCGGGAGGCCCCATTAGCTAAAGTGGTGCTTCAGGTTAAGAACAGTTTCAGGTTAAGAACGGAGCTCCGGAACGAATTAAGTACTTAACCCGAGGTACCACTGTAATTGAATGATATTTGAGATATGAATGTATATTATGAGAATAAATGTTCAGGTAACTGCATTATGAGATTTTTTTAGCCCACTGCAAACTAAATGTAATAACACCTTGCCCTTCATGAATGTGTAATTCATATTGTTGACCGTAGAGCTGAGAACAAAATATGCAGGCAGCTCTGCTGCTGTATGAGAGAGAAAAAATCAAAATAGGAACATAACATCCAATACAGTTGTTCCTCAAACTCAGTGTTAAAAAAGGGAAGAAAAGAAAGATAAAGAGTGCATAGTGTAAACTTTTTGCAATATATTAAACCTTTAAAAATGGTGATTCAGAAAGCTCTAATTAGGGTAGCTTGCGCCCAGTTCAACAAATTATATATTGTACCTTGGCATTCTGAAGCAAAGAGGCAGAGCCTGCTTTCATTTTGAAAATTGAAAGGCTAGCAGTTATTTGAATCTGTTTCTAGCACTAATTGGAACTCATTGCACCCTGGTAAGGCAGAGAGCTAAAGTAAAGAAATTGAATTTAAAGCCTTTAGAAATTGACAGAAGAACTTAAGGGTCTCATTAGGTTAGTAGCTTGCATTAGAGAGCAGATATGAAAACAGAAGTGGTGGCTTGGATCCAAAAAACCCCCAAGAAACTATCTCTCTAGGCTTGTGTTTCTCAATTGCAGGCACCGTGTGTTGCATGGCAAACTGCTTTTGAAGGGAGGTGACCTAGGGTGTACTTAAGTATCTCTTTGGATCCCTGCCCATGTGTGTATTTAGCTAGAAATAAAATCATGAGCAAAGTTTAGGGTGCAGCCCTTCACAATTAATCATGTTAAAGCCCTGTTGAATTCAGTGGAACAGGGTTATGTCATATGCATACCTGCACCATTGAAATCAATGGTAGTTAAAAGTGGTTAACTTTGGCTCTTGCTTAAGTTTTTTTTATTGCATCCCTATATAATTATGGATTTTCCTTTCCATTGCTCTTTCTTCAGGAAAGGAGACTGAAAAAGCCAAAGAACGTTACGATAAAGCTACTATGAAACTCCACATGTTGCACAATCAGTATGTGTTGGCGCTGAAAGGAGCACAGTTACACCAGCACCAGTATTATGACGCTACACTTCCTCTGTTCCTTGACTCCTTGCAGAAGATGCAAGAAGAAATGGTTAAAGCACTGTAAGACACATTTTCTTTTATTGTAAAACCATGCATACTTCAGCTTCCTGGGCACACTGCATTGTTATTTGTAGGTAGCCGTAGCCTAAAATAGAATCCATTGCTGTTAGCTACTCCCAAAATTGTACAGTGGCAGCTAAGGATAGAAACATGAATTTAAGGTGCTGGTTTTATAAAGCATTGCATGGTTGGGAGTATCCGAGGGAACACTTTCTGCCAACCTGGGCCTGTATCAAAGACCCTGCACTCGGTGTCACTGCCTTCAGAGTTGAGTAGTCAGCGCAGAAATGGCCTTTCTAATGGTGGAATCCTCATTGTGGAACATTCTCTCCAGGGACAGTAGTCAGCACCAACTTTTTTTGTGTGTGTATCAAGTGAAGAAGATAATTTTATTCTCATGGGCTTTTAATGGATGATTCTGTTTTCTGCTGTTACTTGTCTGAATTGCTGATGAGGTAAAATCAGCAAATGCCCGCAAGAAGTAGCAGAAATAAAATAGCTGTTGCAATCTGAAAGCTGGCTGTTGGAACTTTAAACAGTGCTACATTGGCAGCTTGATCTGAAAAGTGGCATTATAAAAGTATGTAAACAATATTTTCCATTCCATGTCATTGTTGGCTGTTCAGTTTTTATTAATTGGGTTGGATAGCCGTAATTGCTCTTGGTCTTCCTTTTTTGACAGCATCTGTAGATATTCTAAAACCAGGTTACTCCCTCTTCAAACAGTTGCTAAAATATTAATGGGCCTTTTGAGACAAACAGGGTTGCATTTTTTAATTTACTTTGAAGTAAATTGTTAAATTGGAGCCTGCATTTGCCATTCCCAAAGCAACTGACCCTGTTCTTTATTTTGTGACTTTTGCTCTTTTTCTTGTTTTGGCAGTCGTGAGTAGCATTGTTTCTCTAAGCATAGAAATTCTGTCTTTGTGCTCTTACCTGTTCAGTGCTTAGGATTTCATGGGGAACAATTTGTACCAGTGGATTAAATCCAATGGTGTCTATCCCACAGGTTGACAACATTTCCTCTCTCACGATAGGGCTTCCTCTTCTGGGGATTCTTCAGCAGAAGTTTGCAGGGAGCACAAGAGGCTGCTGGGTGAGAAGAAAGGAAGGGAAAGTCCTGTTGTGTGAGAGGAAGTCTGTTCTACTTGTGGATGCATACTATGGGATTTACCCACTGATGCAAATCTTTGCTTATTTGACTTGTGCAGATGGGCCTATTTAAAAGGACATAACCTTCTTATAGTTTAGTTCTGAAACCTCAAATCAGTCTGATATTCATTTGGCTCTTCAGAAACCTTCTTGCAGTTGCTGGGACTTCCAGATCACTCTTGATTCGGACCTGTCCTTAGCCTGCTCAATTTTATGGGTATGGTACAGTGGTGCCCCGCAAGACGAATGCCTCGCAAGACGGAAAACCCGCTAGACGAAAGGGTTTTCCGTCGCGGAGGTGCTTCGCAAGACGAAGTTCCCTATGGGCTTGCTTCGCAAGACGAAAACGTCTTGCGAGTCTCGCTCTTTCCCCCCCGCTTCCCCCCCCTTTTTCAAAGCGGCTAAGCTGTTAATAGCCTTTTAACAGCTTAGCCGCTAAGCCCGCTAAGCCGCTAATAGCGCTAAATCGCTAATAGCGCTAATCCGCTTAGCCGCCAATGGGGTTGCTTCGCAAGATGAAAAAACCGCTAGAAGAAAAGAATCGCGGAACGGATTCTTTTCGTCTTGTGAGGCACCACTGTACTGAATATTTGACAACCCAGTAGAGAAAGGTTTTATGTTTTGATTGATTGATCTCACTCTAAACAAAACCTTTGAAAATGCGTCGTGCAGCAGTGAATATATTGTAGCATGCGGAGTGCAATTCAGTTATTCAGTGTTTATTTTTATTAAGTCATCCTGCTCAGCTGAACCTACAGCAAATTTCTTATATTCTGGTGAGCAGGGTAGATTATGCTAGATAAATGGCTACCATCAGGATGTGTGGTTCAAGGGAATTTTCATTTCCCTCTTCAGTTCAACAGAAATAGCAGACAGAGGAGAAGAGATAAGAAGGGCGGTATAGTGGTTTCCTTCACTTCTCTCTTTCCCTTCATTGGTGGTTTGAAAATGAGAAGAGGAACATGGAGCAGCTGCTATGGCATGTTTCTTGCAATCTGCTTGTTCCCCATGTGTAGTTCTAAAGAAGGAAAGGGAGGAGCAGAAGGGAAATTGCTTATGCTTCAGGGTTGCTCTCACCTCCCTTTCCAGCTTTTGAAGTATCACACAGGTGAGGATAGGCTGCATACCAATGTACCTATCTTGAATGATGAGTGTGTGGTTGAAGCGTGATCACTGTTGCACAGTGTAGACACATGATTGTCTTTCCCAGACTGGGCTCTGAGGGAACTTGTTCATCTGGTTCCTGACAGAAACTAGATTTGTCACATTGCTGAATGGATGGCTCCTGTGTCAATTATGGAATTCCCCTGTCCCTTTTCAGAAGCAAACTGTGCAAAGCCCTAATTGTCTGGCTGTTGTGTCCACTGTAAAATAACTTCCTCCCCTTTCAGAACTGTTTCTAAAACATTTAAAAAAACTGTAAAAAAATAAAACATTTTAAGAGCTGAACAAGTGTTTGATAGGATGAGCATGCCAGGAAGTAGACAGCCCATCTGAAGCACTGAGGTAGGGAGGGAGAGAGTGTCAGAATCTGATCCACAGACTGTGATCTTCACAGAAGGGCAGGGAAGCAGATTGCACCTCTTGTTCATATGTCTGTACCCTAAGAACTTTTGTTCTTCACAGCCTACTCATAAAAAGCATTTGGAGCCCTTGGGAAGGTTGCAATACCAAGACATAAAATTATGAAGCAGCATATGTCATATATAAATAAGACTTAATTATCCAAGGAGTTAATGAAGAGTTAAAAAACAAGAATTCATCCATTCCTTCATGTTTTTAGTTTATAAATTACTAAAAGGTTTTCTAGACATACTTACATAGTATTTTTCTTTTCTCCAGAAAAGGTATCCTTGAAGAATACAGTCAGATCACCAGTCTTGTAACAGAAGAAATAGTGAATGTTCATAAAGAGATCCAAACATCTGTTGAACAGTTAGACCCTGGTTCTGAGTACAGTAGTTTCATAGAGGCTCACAGGTAAGTGTATATTTATAACTGCTGTTGTTGTTTCACCATTGCAAACTATAATCTTTTCTAAATAAATTTATCCTCAACACTGTAGAACATCAGACAATATGGTGGTGGCTTCACATGCACGCTCCTCATGCAGCAGCATGCGAGATAGCGTCTCTTTTTCCACTTGGTTGCCTGAAGTTCCAAAAGAACTGGTTGTAGGAATATGGAGAATATCTCCTGTTGGCTTTCTTGTCTGTCTTGCCAGTGAGCAGCATCTTGTGTTTGTCTCTGGATTCAACTAGAGAGTCATTCAGGGTTTCTTCTCCAAGAAGTTCGCCACCCACATAGCAGGTGATGGAGAGCTTAACGCAGGACCGAATATCTGCCTCCCAGTGTGTAGATGCCACAGAGTGCATCTGGCCACCACACCAGCTACAAGGACATAGTATCCATTGTAGCATCTGCAGTGAATGCAGCTGAACAGTGTAGCTTGAGTAAGGTTTGGCGGGTACGGCTCGTATCTTGAGCAGGGTTGTCTAGAAGATCATCCACCTGCACTAAGGATGCATGTGCAGACACCAGTCAGTGCAAACTACTTTTCTGGCTAAGGCTCTGTGGATGGCGCAGTCTAGGTGGCATTCTTCAGCTGAGAGTCCCCTTCCTGCAGAAGCAGAGCTTTAGAAACTGAAATGGAAATAGGTAGAGCTACGCTGGGCAGTTTTAAGGAGTCCAAGAAATCAGAATCTAAATAGTATAGGTTTTTAGCGAGCACTACCGCTTTCTGACGCGGGTGGCGCTGTGGTCTAAACCACAGAGCCTAGGGCTTGCCGATCAGAAGGTCGGCGGTTTGAATCCCCCCGTCGGGGTGAGCTCCCGTTGCTTGGTCCCTGCTCCTGCCAACCTAGCAGTTCGAAAGCACATCAAAGTGCAAGTAGATAAATAGGAACTGTTCTGGCGGGAAGGTAAACGGCGTTTCCGTGTGCTGCTCTGGTTCGCCAGAAGCGGCTTAGTCATGCTGGCCACATGACCCAGAAGTTGTACACCGCAACCCCAGAGTCGTCCGCAACTGGATCTAATGGTCAGAGGTCCCTTTACCTTTACCTTTACCTTTACCGCTTTCTGATGCTGGAGGGTTGAATCCCATTCAGCCTTTGTAACCTTCAAGAAGGAAGCTGGAACCGGAACTCCAGACATAGGAGGTTGTGGTTCCTTTAGTACTGCCACTGTTTTAGTGGAAGCAGGAGATGACTCTGCGGGGGGGGGGGGGGAGGAGTTAAACTCCAAGGTACCTAAAGTTTTGCATAATAAAGGAATGTAATGAGATTCCTGGAATAGCCAATGTGAGAATTGTTGGTGTTTGTGTGTGGTGTGTCACTCCATACATCCTCATATTAATCCATGTTAGTAAAAGGAGTCATTGGATTCTAATCCTCTCCGAGACCAAAAGAATGGAGACACTGAGGTCTGGTGGAAGCAAGCTCAGTGGTAGGTACATTAGGTTGCCTTGAGCTGAGAGAGAACCTTTTGGGCGCTGTCTTTGAGGTCATAAATCCCTTGCCAGCAGGTCTGGCTTGAGCAGGTGAAGAGCATGCAAGAGCTGAGAGTTGTTGCAGGAGAGCCTGCTTGATTTGATTGAGCGTGTCCTCAGACGGCTGTAGGGTATGAGCAGGAGCTGGCTCTGAGGGGGGAATGGACCCCTGAAAAACCCTGGTCAGTGGTAGTTTTGGGGGGAAGGAGGGTTGGAACCCCCTGAATTCCTCTTTATCTGATGATTGAGGACTAATGTGATTCAGAGCATTGCAAGGAAGCAGTTTTTAAAGTCCTACTTGCATCTTTTCCTTTTCTCAGTTGGTATCAGCCTCAGAGGAGGGAGGGTCGCTTCCCCCCTCCCCAAGTATCTAACCCCACTAGCCTCCCTGGAACAGAAGAAACTGTACCTCTGGTGGGCTGGGTGCTGCAGGAGAGGTTTCAGCCATTGATGTGAATTGGCAGGTTCTACTTCCTTCTCCTTTCATTTTGTTGTAAATGAATTGAGACTCTCTTTTGGAAAGGAATCCCCGATAAAGAGATTTTTCCTGCTTGCTGGAAGAGGAAAAATGGCTTTCTTGCCAAAAGCAAGCAAGATGGGCTTGCACTTTCTCTAGGTTTCTCAGATCCCTTTCCCTTTGTCTTACATATTAAACAGCTGTTGCTGTAGTGGAAAGGATTTCCTTTTCTCTCTTAGCTTAATGTATGGGGGGAATATATAGAAGCTTTTGTTAAATTCCATCTATTCTGGGGTGGGCGGCTCTGTGAAAACTAAAGACACAAAGAAGCTAAAGTTAAATCTGAGGACTTAAAGTTAAATCCGAGAAGTACTGAGTAAATGGATTCAGTAAGCTATTTGGAAAGACAAGAGAAAGTGAATAAAAATGTAAGAACTTGAGAAATCAGCGGGAGCTAATGGCAACTGGCTGCACTTTGATCAAAACTGCATGATGGATGCCCCACCTCCCAAAAGGTTGCTGCCTGCCTTTGTTCAGTGGGCAGAGCCATTAACCCATCCTACTAACCTAGAGCTGGGAATGGGAAAATTGTCTTCAACACTGTGGAACAGCAGATAATTGGGTGGTGACCACACATGCATGCTCCTAGTGCAGCAGCACTGAGACAGTGTGGTTTAAATTACCCAGCCTTTTTGAGGGACTGCTTCATACAAGTGAATAGTTGCACCAGAGCTATGTGAGCCACCTGTGTGAGCTGTCAATTGTATGATGCGTCTCCACCCCCATCGTTCTGCCCGGACGCTGAGGTCCAGCGCCGAGGGCCTTCTGGCGGTTCCCTCATTGCAAGAAGCAAAGCTACAGGGAACCAGGCAGAGGGCCTTCTCGGTAGTGGCGCCCGCCCTGTGGAATGCCCTCCCATCAGATGTCAAAACGATAAACAACTACCTGACATTCAGAAGACATCTTAAGGCAGCCCTGTTCAGGGAAGTTTTTAATCTGTGATATTTTACTGTATCTTTGGTTTTTATGGAAGCCGCCCAGAGTGGCTGGGGAAACCCAGCCAGATGGGCGGGGTACAAATAATAAATTATTATTATTATTATTATGAACTGGTCCTCCTTTGATCGTGTGATTGGTGTAGATTGCAGCCATTTCATCTGCAGAGAAGGAGCTTTCAAGGATCAGACTAGAAATTCTTATGGACATAAATCCCGTTCCTCAGGCAAGAGGTTAGTGGGATGGGGCATGGACAAAGGAAATCCACAAAGGTCATTGTCAGCTATGGAGGCATAGTTCATAAAAGTACTTACTTTCTCTACGCTTGTTTTAAATATAAAATATATTGTCTCCTATGGTCCTTCCACTAAATCTTAGTATAATTGTCAGAACTAACAGCCTGTAGCTGGCCAGCCTGGTATGGAAGAAGAATACAGTGTCATTCCCACTTCAGATGCTTGGTGTTAGTCTGTGTTCCACCTTTGGCAGTTCCTAGAACAAGCAGTCCTAGTAGCTCAGATGAAATCCCATTTGTGGGACCTGTATTCATATAGAGTCACAACAGCGCCTATGAACAACTATGATGTGTTAATATCCTGCTTCCTTTAATTAAATGCAGTTGTATTTTTGTAGACTACGAATAGCATATTGTACTTGTGTGTGAAGTGTCTTTGAGTATTATATCAAATCAATCAAAGTTTTGCATCTGTAAAGGACACCAGATGTTGCGCAACAAGAAATAGAATTTGATACATCTTTATTGGAAGAAAATGAAAATCTTCAAGCTAATGAGATTATGTGGAATAATTTAACAGCTGAAAGTTTGCAAACTATGTAAGTAACTTAGCCTCCTTTCTCATTTTTTTCATCTTACCTTATATGGTTCAGTTACTGGCATCTCCAGGTAGACCCCTATGTGAAAGCTGGAGAGCTGTGCCGGTCGGTGTAGATAATACTGAGCTAGATAGACAAGAGTTTGCTTCACTGCAATACAGCTTCCTATGTTCCTATTTGTTGACCAGGGTGATGAGCAAAGTGATTGCAATGTAATGACCAGTAAGCTTAGGAGAGTGGGGAATTGTTACAGGGGGTGAGTGATATATCAATATTTTGTCTCTTACTGGTATGAACTCCAGACCGCGATAAAGGTTTCATATTTGTTTCCACCCTGTAATATATTGAGAATGCACTACCCAGCTGGCCTTGCAGACCCAGCAGGCAGGAAGCAGCACTTTACTGCAAAGCAAACCTTTACTGCAAAGTAGATGACCATTTCCTGCCTTCAGATCTTCAAAGCATAAGCCCCTGCTGCCTCTCAGCTGATGTTGCAGAGTAAAGGGCTTTACTTTGTAGTAAAAGCTGCTTTCTTCCTGCACAGTCTGCAAGGCGCAAGCCCCATGCCTCTGGCTAGAGACAGATCCAGCATAACAATAAGCTTCCCTGCCCAGGCAGGGAGATTCACTAGGCAGAATAGAGACCCAGCACGATATCAGGCTAAGCATGATATCAAGGTCTCTGCCTAGCAAGAGACATTGTGTGTGCCTTAAAGCCCCATGGATCTTATTGGCAGAAAAATAAACTTTGTTTGCTTATTGGAATCGATTCTGATCAGCAAACAAAGTTTCTTCTTCATGATAAGATCAATGTGGCTTGGTTCCTGCTTTTGTTAAGGCAAAGAAGCAACAATTTACTTTTGCAGGAAAGGCTTTATGCATTTGGAAACCAAGGTGCAGATGATGCTGTTGAATGGGCTGTTGAACTCGCAAGTATCCCACCAGCCTGAGCCAACATGGCCAGTGCACAGGGATGCTGGGATTTATAGTTCAAAACAACTGGAGGGCTATAGTTGGTATAGAATGTATTTCCCCCCAATCGATGTAATATAAGCAAATAATAACAATAGATGAATATGTGTTCATAGATATGAAAAACCTAGAATGGCTACATATACGTGTATATTGCTCTCTCTTACATTTTCAACTGTATTCTGATGAAAACACTAGGGAGTTGCTAAGTGTATGCAATATATATTTGTGAGATGAATATATAATTTTTTTCATTGAAACCTTAGGTTGAAAACAGTAGTAGAAGAGCTGATTCAGACACAGCAGACACTTCTAAACAAGGAAGAGCTAGTATTGGAATTAGAAAAAAAGATAGAAGAATCTTCTAAGATCTGTGAGAGGAAATCTGAGTGAGTATTTTAAAAAAAAGTCATGAAGTTTTAGTGTGCCATGATTGGATCTCATATCTGAAAATACTTAAGCAAGCCTGTCTGTATGCAAATGACTTGTTTATAACTTGTTAGGAACATATATTCCAAGGTAGCAGAAGGCCCTCCACAATTGCTCCAATTTGGGCATTAAAATCCCCATAAATATGTATAAATGCTGTGGGAAATTTACCACAGACCTGCTCCAGTAAGGAAGTTAAATCTGACCATATCCTGGTGGTCAGTGACCGACTATTAAGCGGAGGAATGTAGATGTTTAAAAGCAAGGTTCCTAATTGTATTAGCTCCTAACAAGTCTGGATCTATTGACCAGTTAGGTAAGCTATCATTAGAGGAATATTTTAGCAAAACCTCTTACTTGGGATAAGGCATACCCAGCCCCATTTCTTGCACATTTGCCATGTAAAGAACCAGGGCTGTCCATATAAGGCAAATAAATTACACCGTGCTGCAATTGCTTTGTAGTTACCTCCATCTCCCTTGCCCTAGCTGCTCCAGTTGAGGATTTCTGGACAAAATTTCTGGACAATGGAGTCCCAGATGATTTATTTTAAGCACTGTGGGTCTGTGCTTGTGTGGTAACCATATTAAAACCATTAAAATTGCAGAATATCCCTCAGTCGAGATGAGCTTTAAAATTCCTTATCAGCAGAATGCTGAAAGCCGAATCAAAAGTTGCCCTCTCAGCGCCTTTCCTATAATTAACATATATGACTTTTAAATCCACGTAAAAGTAAAACAGATAAGCTCCTTGCCTGCATGTTGCAATTAACATGAACAGCTGAGCCAATTGACTTTAAAACTAAGACAAATTAAAACAGACGGTGTAGCTCAAAGGACCTGTCAGCATCCTCACCCAGAAATCCATGTTTTTTGAGAGGAGAAATTAACTTCAGGTTTCCCCCCCTCTAAATTAATTTTATCTTGTTCATTTTCAGTGTTGTGCTTCTATTAAGCCAGAAACAGACACTGGAAGAATTGAAGCAAACGGTTCAGCAATTGAGATGCACTGAAGTCAAGTTTGCTGCCCAGAAGGAACTTCTAGAACAAAAAGTGCAAGAAAATGATGGGAAAGAACCGCCACCTGTTGTAAACTATGAGGAGGATGCCAGATCAGTTTCTTCAATGGTAATTCCTGTGATTATTATGGTATAACAGTGGCATTAATGGGGCTGCAACATACAAATACTTGTATGGGGCTGCAACTAGCAGTGACTGTTAACTGGAGGATACAGCACAACTACAAGGCATCCTGTTTCACTCTAGAGTTACTTTAATGATACGTTGATGAATTAGGATCTTATTTTTTAAAATAATGTTTTTTAAATGAATTAGGGTGCAACTGTAAATACAAAGAGAACTTAAGAATGAGGATCTTACTCGATAGATTGCTTTAAAGCTGGGTTAAAATTAAGGTGGCTAGTAGCGCATCAAGACCAAAGAGAAAACAGGTTTGCATAAAACTTGCATAAGCGAATTGATATGTATAGATTGAAATTCAGAAACGATTGTGGTAATTTAAATGAAAGGGCAGCGTTTATTAACATAGTGAGGAAGTCTGGGGCCAGAAGACCTGTGTGTCTGGTGAATCTACTGCCTAAGTTCTAATTGCAGAAGGGCTGCTTCAAGGCTTCATGGACTATGATAGCTATGACTATATCCTCTTTGTCCAGAGCATTACATTTCCAATTACTAGGGCTGTGAACCAGATTTGACTAAGTCCTGAATCCTGAGCCACGTTGTGCCTATTTGGAAGGATTCAGGCCTTGCACAAGTCAAGCTGAGATAGCCACAGATTCCTGTGGGTTGTGTTGAATGACCCAGAGGGACCTGGTGCTGTCCAGGATAAGGCATCAGGCAGGAAGAAGAGGCGTGCATTGAGTTCCTTGTGACTGACAGCTGCCTATTTTGAGAGAAGGTAGGAGCCTAATGTCCCGTGACCTCCCTTCCTGCCTGATACCCCACTTGATCAGTGCCTCTGCATCACAGCTGTTGAGCAGTGGCATTGATCCTGTGTGGTGCGGGGTGATCCTTGCAAATGGCTTCCCTACAGAGAAGTCACTTGCAAAGCAGCACCCTGAAGGATAGATGCCTTCAGCTCTTGTGTGGAGGAGGCATTATTTCTGCACGGTATGGGTCCTGGATTTCCTGCTGACATCATAGGGTCACTGGGTTGGAAGCTGTAGCTCTGCCCTGAAGACGAGGCAGGAAAAGAAATTATTTTGGAAGAGGGCAGTTCCTAATCAGCTGGTTTATTAGTTTCTGACTATCCTGGTAGAATGGACTATATGGATTTTGGGGACTCAGTTATGTTCTTACCTTTTGGAGTAGGATATAAATCTCTGGATCCCCACAGGAATTCTAATTCATAATATCTATGAAATTGTGTGGCTTAGCATTGCTTCTGTTTCATGGCAGGCAGATAAAACAAAAAAGACATAATTCATTTTATTATAGTTGGTAACCATGCATCAATATGTGGGAGCGATTCACTAGAAATTTCTGAGTGGCTTTTCTCAACATGCAGAGGTTTGGAGCTTGTGTTTGGTGAAGAAAATTTTCTCTCATTTTTTTGTTCTGCCTGTCTGCATCACGTCAACATGACATCTTGGTTTGCAGGAGAGAAGACTTCATGACATCTATATCTCATGCATATGAAAATGTGCATTTGATATAATTTATTTCTGTCTCCATTAGGGCATGCTTGTTTTCCCATAAACATGTCCAAATATACTGTCTCAATACTGGCTATTGTTTCACCCTCCCTCTCTTTTCCCATCTAGTTGTTTTTCAAATGCCAAAGTTGCATTCATTCCCCTGTCACTATTATTGGTATGCAAAACATGAGATGTACATGCTGCTCTGGACAAACTAATTTGATAAGGGCCTCTGCTAGAAAGTTTGCAATATAAATTAGGTATAGTGTAGCAGGAAAAATATATATACAGTGGTACCTTGGTTTAATAATAATAATAATAATAATAATAATAATAATAATAATAATAATTTATTATTTATACCCCGCCCATCTGGCTGGGCCTCCCCAGCCACTCTGGGCGGCTTCCAAATAAATATTAAAATACTGTAATACGTCAAAGATTAAAAGCTTCCCTAAACAGGGCTGCCTTCAGATGTCTTCTAAAAGTCTGGTGGTAGTTGTTCTCTTTGACATCTGGTGGGAGGGCGTTCCACAGGGAGGGCGCCACTACTGAGAAGGCCCTCTGCCTGGTTCCCTGTAACTTGGCCTCTCGCAGTGAGGGAACCGCCAGAAGGCCCTTGGTGCTGGACCTCAGTGTCCGGGTAGAACGATGGGGGTGGAGACTCTCCTTCAGATATACTGGACCAAGGCCGTTTAGCGCTTTAAAGGTCAGCACCAACACTTTGAATTGTGCTCGGAAACGTACTGGGAGCCAATGTAGGTCTTTCAAGACCGGTGTTATATGGTCTCGGCAGCCGCTCCCAGTCATCAGTGTAGCTGCCGCATTCTGGATTAGTTGTAGTTTCCGGGTCACCTTCAAAGGTAGCCCCACGTAGAGCGCATTGCAGTAGTCCAAGCGGGAGATAGCCAACGCATGCACCACTCTCGCGAGACAGTCCGCAGGCAGATAGGGTCTCAGCCTACGTACCAGATGGAGCTGGTAAACAGCTGTCCTGGACACAGATTTGACCTGTGCCTCCATGGACAGCTGTGAATCCAAAATGACTCCCAGGCTGCACACCTGGTCCTTCAGGGGCACAGTTACCCCATTCAGGACCAGGGAATCCTCCATCCGCCTCTTGTCCTCCCAAAACAGTACTTCTGTCTTGTCAGGATTCAACCTCAATCTGTTAGCCGCCATCCATCCTCCAACCGCCTCCAGACACTCACACAGGACCTTCACCGCCTTCACTGGTTCTGATTTAAAAGAGAGGTAGAGCTGGGTATCATCCACATACTGATGAACACCCAGCCCAAACCTCCTGGTGATCTCTCTGTTTAAGAACAGTCCTGTTTAAGAATGATTTGGTTTACAAACTCCACAAAACTGGAAATAGTGTCCCGGTTTGAGAACTTTATCACAGACTAAGAACGGAATCCAAATGGTGGAAGAGCACCGGCGGCGGGAGGCCTCATTAGGGAAAGCACACCTCGGTTTAAGAATGGTTTCGGTTTAAGAATGGACTTCCGGAACAGATTAAGTTTGTAAACCAAGGTACCACTGTATAAAGAAAATTAACAGAGAAGGAAGAAAGGGTTGCTGTATCAGTACTTAAGAAAAAGTAAATTAGTTTTCTGATAATATTGCCATGGCCATACTAACCATAGAGGCAGCTTGCAACTACTTTGGGTGCCAAAATGCCTGGGGTGCTAGCCTCACCTATGTAAACAGAGAGCACCATTGTGTGGACTTTTGAAGGCGACACAAGATACAGCTTAGTAGCTCTTAAACTGGGTGATACTCCCTCCCTTCCAGGAAAGATAAATGAAAGCCTTTTGATCCTCATGGAAACACACTTCGCCAAATATGTGCCTGTTTTGATGTGGGAGCATTTCACACGCATACCTCTAAGCATTTCCTTACATTTCACACGCATACCTCTAAGCATTTCCTTACATTTCCTGGACTTTACACACCCTAGTCTTGGAGACTAGCTTTCAGAGGGAAAAGGGGACCGGGACAGTATTAACAGGGAGTGTTGGGACTGGAGGGCACTGGAGGGGCTAAGAATCCATTCCTACCTCGTGATACTTGTGTACAAATGACTACTACTCCCCACATTAGTGCTCTCTATCTTTGCTTTGTAAGATGGGGTTCCCCTACCCTTAATTCAAAGAAGAATGCTAAACACATCTTTACTGTAATGATTGTGATTGATCATCCATTTATCAGTATTTCTTCGATAAAACAAAAGTATTTTGTTGGTGAATTATATATAACCTTTTCTCTTATCTCACCATGCTGTAATTCTTAGTCGTTTTTGAATAGCTTTTCAGATTTACCACGTATAATGATCCTCCTGAATGAAAAGTATTTATTTAATTAGAAGTTAAATTGTTGTTTTCATTGCAAAGCAGGTCATCCTTTTGACCTTTTCAATTTTGTTATTTAATTCTTCTTGACTTAAACAACTATGAATGCCTTACGCATTTCTGGTTTATGATCTGCAGCATTCTTTTATGAATTTACAGTGTTGTCGAGCACAAAAATATACATTCAGCAGCATAAAAAAAACCTTGCTATTCAACTATCCTTAAGTAAATTATGCAAAGCTTCTGTATGCAGATGCAGCATAAGGTTTAGTGTATCTGTAAAATAGGTTCTTGATCAGGTTTTTTTAAATATCATTATTATAAATTAGAGTGTTACTGATTGCACGGGTTTCAGTTTGACATTCATTTAAATACTTTAAATGTTTTTAGTGAGGGTTTATTGCTCAGTTTTTACTTGCCCTCCAATACAGCATGGAAGCTAAGGAGTGAATGGGGTAGAGCTTGGTTTTGTGTTGCTCTCTTCCCCACTCCCCTCATCAGAGTGTGAGTCATTCTTTCAGATAAACACAGGATCTCCTTGTATTTCATTTCCATCTCACAGTGAAGGAAAGGGTAAGAGAGAGGGGGAGAGAGAGAGAATGCTCAGAACCCAACCTTATCACTTCCTAGGGGGTTAATTGGACTGTATTTTACATTACAGTGGTACCTCGGGTTAAGTACTTAATTTGTTCCGGAGGTCCGTTCTTAACCTGAAACTGTTCTTAACCTGAAGCACCACTTTAGCTAATGGGGCCTCCTGCTGGAGCACGATTTCCGTTCTCATCCTGAAGCAAAGTTCTTAACCCGAGGTACTATTTCTGAGTTAGCGGAGTCTGTAACCTGAAGCGTATGTAACCCAAGCTACCATTGTAATTTGTTTCCCATGCTTCCACTTACTGATTACCCTTATGGAATTGAGAGAGCTCTGTCACCTTGCTATATGTCACTGATAGCACTGACCTTCATCTGGTAGGCTGGTTCCCACAAGTTGGTCATAGCTTGGCATTTAGTGGGCTGCCCCTGTAGCACTATTTCTGCATATGGTAAAATAAATAAGTGGGTCCCATAATGCATATTTGCATTGAAAGGTGCTTCCTAGGTGTGGAAAGTTGAGAAC